CCCTAAACCCTAGACCCCAAAACCCCTAAACCCTAAACCCTGTTTCTATAGTAGGGCGTTGGTGCTTCTTTTTTTTGTTGGCAGGGGGTCCGAAGCTTGGTGAAGGAGCCTTCCGGGAGCCTAACAGTATCGGGTTCAGGGTTTAGGGTTTAGGGTTTAGGGTTTAGGGTTTAGGGTTTAGGGTTTAGGGTCTTCCGGGAGCCTAACAGTATCGGGTTAAGGGTTTAGGGTTTCGGACTCCTGTTGAGTGTTTATTAGGGTTTAGGATTCAAGGTTTAGGATTTAGGGTTTAGGAATTCTTCTTCTTCGGCCATGTTGGAGTTCTGTGAACACGGGCGAAGTTTAGGGGTTTAGGCTTCAGGACTTAGGGTTTAGGATTTAGGGTTCAGGATTTAGGGTTCAGGATTTAGGGTTTAGGATTTAGGGTTTAGGATTTAGGGTTTAGGATTTAGGGTGTAGGATCCAGGGTTTAGGATTTAGGGTTTAGGATTTAGGGTTTAGGATTCAGGGCTTAGGATTTAGGGTTTAGGTTTTAGGGTTTAGGATTCAGGGCCTAGGGCAAGAGCATGAAGCAAGATCGATGTGTTGAGAGTGCTGACTTTTTGGCCTGGTACGACTTGGAGCTACATGGGTAATTATAAGTGGGGTTATGGGGTTCCTTTAAGGGTTCCTTTAAAGGGTTCTATAGTAGGGTTTAGGGTTTAGGAGGTTCATGGGTACTTATAAGTGGGGTTATAAGTAGGGTAACTAGAATTATTAACGCATATTAGGGGACTTATAACTCCACTTATAACTACCCATGAACCTCCAAGCACCACAGCCGCTAACGCTTGCTCACGTAACTTTTCTGTTTCTTCCTGGGCACTTGTGGCTGTTGGGACCCTAAACCCTAAACCCTAAACCCTGAAGCCCTAAACCCTAAATCCTAAACCCTAAACCCTAAATCCCTCTGGCACCCTGTGCTCATGAGAACATCAGGAAAGCTCTCAATAAAGAACTAAAGGAGGGATTGGGGCCCCGGTTCTAGGGTTTAGGGTTTAGGGGTTTAGGGGTTTAGTGTTTAGGGATCTCCGGCTATGCAACGCAGACCAGATTGCGTAGCAACTGCCTCAGTAAGGTTTGGGGGATGCTTCACAGTCTCACTGCGTGAATACGCGTTGGTGTTCGTGCGCAAGGGGTAATGTAGAGGCCTTAATAATTAGAATAGGTTTTTGGGCTTCTTTATAATATATTTATAATAAGCCCTTCTTTATAATATATTTATAACAAGCCCTAAGAATAAATTTCGGCTTCTATAGTGACGGGTATTCAAGCCGGCCGTCCTGGTCGAACACGTCCCGCATGATTTCGAGAATCTTCTTGTCACCTGCGTCCTGGCCAAACTGGGGAACGGTACATTCCCAGAGAGCCCATTAACCCTTAATTAAGGAACAGACCTTGAATCATGATATTAAGGCCCCTATAATTTAAGGTACATTCCTTATTTAAGGGGTATTGGGTTCTCTGGGTTACTATAGACTTGTAGCTGTAGTGTCATGGAAGCCAGCATACCAAGAACTGCAAAGCACCTTCGGTTGCCATGGCAATCCTTAACCCCAAGCCCTATCTAAACCCTAAACCCTAAACCCTAAACCCTAAACCCTAAACCCTAAACCCTAAACCCTAAACCCCAAACCCTAAACCTTAGAACCCTAAACCCTAAAGCCTAGAACCACCCCGAACCCCAGAGCGCTGAACCCTGAACCCTAGAACCCTAGAGCCCTAAAGCCTAAACTACAGAGTCTTTTCGGTATTAATGCTTTAGGGTTTATCCTTTTATGGGTTAAGGCGGCTAAGCATTCCGGGCTTACGGATTTAGGGCCATTTAGAGTTTGGGGTTTAGGGATTTAGGGGTAGTTTAGGGTTTAGGGTTTAGGGTTTAGGGTTTGGGGCTTAGGGGTCTAGCTGAACCCAAACCCTGAATTTCTCCGCCCCTTTCTCGAGTAGGCCCGGCGAGCCTGGCAAAACAAGCCTCGCATCACGTCGCTGACAGTCTTGTCTCGCCCGCCCTTGGCATCGGAATTGGTTCCCGGCATGGAGAAACTGTTGGGGCTTTAGCAGCTATAGCAGGGTTTGGGGGGAAATGACAAAAATGACAAGGTGGGGGGGGGGGGGGTATCTTACCCTAAACCCTAAACCCTAAGCCCTAAACCCTAAACCCTAAAACCTAAGCCCTAACCATCCGGCTCCTTTCTTCGTAGCAACAAGACTCGAAAGGAAGAACACTCCTGCCAACACTGAGAAGATCCCCTCAACCCTAAACCCTAAACCTATCCCCAGAGAGCCCAGCAACACTTAATTAAGGAATATACCTTAAATCATAATATTCAGGCCGCTATAATTTCAGGTATATTCCTTATTTAAGGGGTGTTGGGTTCTCTGGGCTCATGGAGGCCTCAGTTCATGAGATTTGTCGCCAAAAGACATCCCTGAACCCTAGACCCGAGACCCACGACCACATAAAGCCGAAAATCGAAAAGCAAAAGCCTGAAGCGTAACCCTCGGAACCTTTAGGGTTTAGATTAAGGCTGGGGGGTCTTGGAAAGGCTTTAAGGAGTTCGGAACTCCTCTGATCCTGTCTGCTTGAAGAAGGATCGTTGCGCAAGCCCGCTCTACAAGCTAAAATAGCTAAAACAACTTCGTGGAAGCACTTCACTTCAGTGATTTCTGTC